ATACATCTCCACAGGCAAGGAAACAAAAGCAAAAATAAACTATTGGGACTACATCACAATAAAAAGCCTCTGCACAGCAAAGGTAACCATCAACAAAATGAGAAGGCCTCCTCGTGAATGGGAGAAGATATTTGCAAATGATGATACATTCAATAAAGGATTAATATTTCAAAATACATAAAGAACTCCTATAACTCAAGAAAACAATGAATTTGTTAAAGTACGCAGAGGACCTGAATATTCATTTTTCCAAAGAATATATCCAGACAGCCAACAGACACATGAAAAGATGCTCAACATCACCCATCATCAGGGAAATGCAAATCAAGATCACCATGAGATATCACCTTACACCTGTCAGAATGCCTCCAATAAAAAAAAAGACAAGAAATAACGAGTGTTGGCGAGAATGTGGAGAAAGAGGAGCCCTTGGGCACTGTTGGTGGGAATACAACCTGGTGCAGCCACTGTTGAAAGACTGTGGGAGTTCCTCAAAAACAGAACTACCATATGATCCAGTCTTCCATTCCTGGGTCTTTACCCCCAAAATACAAAAACTCCATTGTGAAAAAATACTTCCTATGTTTATTGCAGCATCATTTACAATAGCCAAATTATGGAAGCAACCCAAGTGTTCATCAATAGACACACGGATAAAGAAGATGCAGTGTATGTATATGCAATGGAATATTACTCAGTTGTAGAAAAAGAATGAGACCTTGCTCTTTGCTCTTGCCACCACATGGATAGAGCTAGATGATATTATACTAAGTGAAGTAAGTCAGAGAGAGAAAGACAAATACCCTATGACTTCACTTAAATGTGCAATCTTGAAAACAAAACAACAGAACAGATTCTTAAATACAGAGAATAAAATGGTGGTTGCCAGAGGGGAAGTTGGTGGAGAGATGGGTGAAATAGACAAAGGTCATTAAGAAATACAAACTTCCAGTCATAAAGTAAATCAATCACAGAAATGAAAAGCACAGCATTGGGAACATAGTCCATAATGTTGTTTGGGGACCAGTGGTTATTACACTTAACCATGGTGAGCACTGAGTAATATATAGAATTAATCATTATGTTGTACATCTGAAATTGATAAATATTTATACTCATTCATGATCCATGTTGCTAGTCAAGAGAAAAAGGGAACTTACCCTTTGGTGAGAGATGCTTTCTCTTGGTCGCAATTTGTCATTTCAGGACTCTGTTTATGACAAGTTGGTAAACATTGTGATTAGATTTAAAGTTGAGTCTATCCGTAAGTACACGTAACCCTTTGATTCTCTCAATCAGATTGTTATCTACTGCTATCTAGCCGAAATAAAACAACTACCCATTCCTAGAGAAACTATAAGGGCCTTTTCCATGCTTGTTTTAAGTGAAATGACACAACTGTCAAGGCATAATTTATTATTTTGAAGAGCTATTTAGGGCACTGATTTACTTCTTTAAGCAACTTTCTGTTGATAAAACAACCTTTCATTTTTGTTTTAGATCAAATTTATGTTGTCATTTTCAATTCTAATAGTTATTTTTCATTTGGAGTCACCCTGATGCTAGGCTCTGTGACTGCTTTCCGGAAGTTTATTTCAAAATCCACAAATTAACCACATCAAACATTTAGTGATGAAGCCATGTTTCTGGTAAATACTTTGTATGCATACATTATGTTGATTTATCACCTACCATGGAAACAGATTTAAGATTGTGTTTTCATTTAATTTTGAAAATCAGTTACAAATATGCTTATATATAGGGGAGACTCAAAATAGATTTTTAAAGGACTGGGAACCAGCTTTGCAGAGCCTTCCAAATTCCAGAATGGCTCAGAATCAGAGAATCCTTGACACGAATAAACAGCTGTCAGGAACTGAAGACCCAAAGGTGTGTGTTGCTGGTCAGTTCACTTTACGATGAAAATTGGCAGGCACTAAGAGAGTAATTTTTGCCTGTGCATCTGTGAGAAGCCTAGACAAAATGAAAAGAACGGAAATTAACTCATGGCAGTTAGCCTTGGCAGTGAGAGCAGCAAATACTTCCATAACAGTGTTAGGTAAGACAGACCCTCACACCTCCATCTCCAGAAGTCTTCAGACCTGTATCCTTCAACTTCCCTAGATGTCAGACACAGCAGCTAAAGACTGTTTCAGTTCTTAATTAGAATGGCTAGTATTTATCAGGTACCCAGTTGTGTGAGGGCACTAATTCTAAATATATGCATCAATTATTTGTATCCTTTCCAGAATCCAATGAGCTAATTTCTAATACTAGCCTCATTTTGCTCAAGAGAACATGAGACTGAGGAATATGTAGTTAGTTGCTCAAAAATAAGCAACTGAAACCCAAATTTGAGCCCAGAATTCTTGTTTCAGAGTCCATACTCCTCACTTATAGCCTCTTCTGATGAATGGGAGTCTGTATTAGGATTTTTTTTTCATCTTCCTACTAATGGCCCACTTATTTAGAAAATAAACATGAACGCCTTTCAGCTGAGATTTCGTGAGCAGTTGATCTCTCACATAAGTGTTCCCTTTCCTTAGAACGTTTACAGTGTATTCGTCCATTTGGTTCCATTGACAAGTGAATTTTAAGGAAAACAGATATGTTGCTCAGAGTCACAACTACAGATATAATCTCTTCTTCCAACAGCAACCAAGAATTTGTAGGCTTCCAAGGCCCCCCTACATCACAGGTAAATAGTCCCAATACAAGGAGGTAATCAATTCTCTTATTAAAACAAGGCATGCAGTGTGAAGTAAGACAAGGCTCTGTCGCCCATACTGTCTTGTTTTGTTCTGACTCTGCCGTGGCTTTACAGAACTGTCCAGGGAGGAAGGACTGGAGTCCTATGTGGCATCCGGTAGTTAAAGCTGTGTGCTAATTATCTGCACATGGGTGCCTACTGCTTACTACAGATGAGCTCTCCAGTGAAAGAAATATGTTGCTTTTGTCTTGATGGACAAGCATAATTATTTCAGGGCAAAGAAAAACGATCTGCAAGGCACCACCCAACCCGCTTGTCAAAGTGCAGAATTACATAGTGTTCACTCTGCAAAGACAGTTCTGGCTCCAAAGACAATGGCAACACATGATGTATTCTTTCCCAATACAGATGCACTTCTCCTCAAAGAAACTTTTTCTGGACCTTATAAATTCACAGTGCAGACGCTGTTAAAGACAGACCTCTAGCATCTTTGTAATTATAGTTAAGATTCTGGGGGCACCTGGGTGGCTCAGTCAGTTAAGTGTTTGACTTTGGCTCAGGTCATGATCTTACAGCTCATGGGTTCAAGCCCCGCGTCAGGCTTTGTGCTGACAGCTTAGAAACTGGAGCCTGCTATGGATTCTGTGCATCCCTTTCTCTCTGCCTCTCCCCTGCTTGCGCACTCTCTCTCTCTCTCAAAAATAAGCAAACATTAAAAAAAATTATAGTTGGGGCGCCTGGGTGGCTTAGTCGGTTAAGCGTCCGACTTTCGCTTAGGTCATGATCTCGCGGTTTGTGGGTTCGAGCCCCGCGTCGGGCTCTGTGCTGACTGCCACCTCAGAACCTGGAGCCTGTTTCAGTCTGTGACACCCTCTCTCTCTGACCCTCCCCTGCTCACGCTGTCTCTCTCTCTCTCTCTCCTAGAAATAAAAAATATTTAAAAAAAAAATTATAGTTAAGATTCTAGGATCTAAAGCATAGATATCCTCTTGTCTTGAATTATATTTTGAAAGAATATTTCCTTGGGAAAGAGCTTATTATTTCAGTGACAACTCAGGACATTAGTAGTTGAAATGAAGAACTTTCTGGAAAAAACTAGGTATTTGTAAAAATGACCTGAAAGGTGCTGCTTCTTTAGCTTCAGAGTCACTGCTCACTTTTGTTAAAAAAAAAAAAACGTGACCTTTTATTCGTCAATATTGAAAAAAGCAGCACATCTCCCCAACATGCAAACCTGCATCAGGACGGTCATGGGAAGCAAGGTCAGGCCACCTCTTGACCTTTGGTTGTGGGCTACCTGTAATCACGTCTCTCTCTCGTTGGTATCTCGTGCCACATCTCTGCCTCCTATGGAGATGTTCACACGGATGTTGCTGAATTATGAAATCATTATGTTGTGTTTCAGTGTTTACTAATTGGGAAAAAGGGACATACAACTTATCTTTCTAAAGAATCTCATGGAAGAAAAAAACACCTGAAGCATAAAGTTTCTGCTATGGAACCAAGGAGCTAACCTTAGATGCCAATGTGTTTTTTTTTTCCTTCCCTTTATAGTTATTTTATTAAATAAACAGAGGGAGGACAGAGAGAGTGAGTGTTCTTTGCTAAACATCAGAATCAAGTTTAGTAATCTGTAGTCCCTTCTGAGTACCTGAGTCGTCCTAATTATTTCTTAGCCCCATCTTTTCTTAATAAGAATGCAATAATTTCTCTTGCTGGCACAATTTTCGAAAGCAGAATATTTAGCTTGTGATAGATGATTGTAACATAGCATCACACATCATTTCCAAAGCAGCTCTTTGGAAACATTAACCTTTTTATTCATACTCGTATCAACCATATCTGTATTGTTTAGGAAGATTCAAAAACAAGCCCTCTAAAAATAAACACGACTGAACCCATAAACTTCTGCTTTACCACACAGCCCCTTGGTATCCAGCTCTATCTAAAATAGGATTTTCCCCTCACCTGACCACGGCCATACTTGGGTCTCATTAGAGGTAGGGGCTGCTGGGAAGGTTACAGAGAGAAGTGTGAGGTGGAGCTCCGCTTGAGTGCTTACCAGAGGGTAGAGTTAACTATCCCATTCGTAAGGGCAAAGAATTCCTGGACTTGATCCTCAAGGGCTTTTGAAAACCCAAGGCAGCACCAATCATATGGCATTTGGCCATAGGACATTGGTCTCCAGGGTCACACTTGACATAGGAATATATAATGAAAGGAGAAAAAAGTAAATAAAACCCTATCAGAGAAACTAATGTCTTACACACTTTCATTTTCCGTATCTCAGAGGTTCATTCGAAGATTCTACGACCAGATTTTACACAGCGTGTGTGGTGGAAGCATTCGCCTATCTGCATTCCAAAGGGATCATTTACAGGGACCTCAAGCCAGAAAATCTCATCCTGGATCACCGAGGCTACACCAAGCTGGTCAGTGCATTTTATGCACCATTTCTGCCCTGTGGTTTTAAATATTTGTTAACAAAGCTGTGCTTATTTCCTAACATTGAAATCTCCGTTTTCCTTTGTAAATGCTGTACCTTTTCTTAAACAGCAGATGTTAGTGTTACTGCTTTCAACTAAGCATTCTTTCAAATGGTGCAAACGTTGTTAAGAAATCAAACTGATTAGGTCTAAATGAATACGGTCCTGGCAGATGTGTTTAAGTGGCCTCGTATGGTGGCCATGTATTCATAGACTGTTAGAAGAGCTCTGTAGCCGTTTCTCCTGTCCTCTTTGTGTGGTTCACAGGGAATGAATACTTAGATTAAACCATGAATCATGGTAACATTTTAGATTTAAGTATAATCTAAACAAAAAACTTGGTAGGCAGTGTTATCCGGGGCATTTGACTTATAGTGATAGTAGTGATCACAATAGTAAAATCTGTCAAGCGTGCTAAAGATTTACTGTAGGAGGGAAGTTCTATTATAAAACATAGAATTTTTTCAGGCTTTGAATCTGTCAGTGCCTGACTCTCTTTTTTAAACTTTTTGGACTTTCTATTCAGCATGTGGTTTTCAAGGAAATCAAATCAGTGGCTGTTAATTATTTGTATTCTTGACCAAATCGTTTTATAAAAAGATAGGCTTTCTGCATTTGATGCTTCTCCAGTGAGAAAGATTTCTAGAAAAACAAAGAACATTTGCATTTTATTCCTGTTTGTGTGTAGTCAGGGCAGGGATAAATTTTGTGACTAGGTTTCTTGAGCAGTGAGGTGTCTTCTCATGACTAAATGAATTATCAGCTTCCTAAATCCAGCAGAAAGCATGCATATTTGGGAAAATTTGTCAAGTAGGTCCAACTAGTCTCAAAGTTTTTCAGGAAAGGAGGAAAAATGGAAAATATTTCTGGAAGGAAAGGTTTACCATTATTTTGAATGATGTGAGTTCCATTCTATACTCAGGTTTTAGCTTTTCCTATTGAAACTGCATTTGCTCAGGGAGGCTTTGTCTGTTTGAAATACAGATGACTCCTCTTAGAATCTAGGACTATGGTAATATGCATCTCTTTTTATTATATTCCGTGCACTTCAACTGAGTAACTTACTGCTTTTAAGCATAAGGTCCAGGCCTTGAAATATCTTGTTTTTCTCCCTTCGTAAGGTTGATTTTGGCTTTGCGAAGAAAATAGGATTTGGAAAGAAAACATGGACGTTTTGTGGGACTCCTGAGTACGTGGCCCCAGAGGTCATCCTGAACAAAGGCCACGACATCTCAGCTGACTACTGGTCCCTGGGGATCCTGATGTATGAGCTTCTGACTGGCAGGTACGGACATTGACAGAGAGCTGCTAATAGAGCAGCAAACAGCTGCACACTCCCGCCTTTGTCACTGATTAGACCATCGTAAAGCACATTTCATCCTATCCTGGTCCAGCACTTTGATTAGTAATTCAGGTGCCCAGGAATTCATAAAACAAACTCTAAAATGGATTGGATGAGGGCAGGGATCTCAATGTCAACCTTTGGCCTCATCATTACTAATTCTTTATACGTACGTGAGAATGTGGAATAATCTGGTATCTTTCTGAGGGATCTTTGAGTCTAGTCACTTAGCCAGCAATGAAGCAAGGGAGATAATAGTGCTATAAAAATATCTAGGGTTAACTATGCATAGAAATGAGAGGACATGCTAACAGGTATTATACCTAAATGAAATGTGAATGGTTTGCAGGTCTTTTGTGTACTGATATTATAGCCATCAGCAAGTGTAAAAAAAAAAAAAAACGTACTGTGGATACTTCCAGGTCTAAGACTTTAAGATCCTCAATCAAAAGAAAAAGAAATACACCGCCATGCCGTGCATGGGGGACAATGAGTAGTAGAGTCATTATAAACCCGTGTTCAGGGCTGGATATAGGCCTCGGACATATAGAGTAAGGACAGAAGGACAAGAGTGGGCAAAGACGTGGAGAAGTTCCGTGTAGAAAACCTTAATGGGAAACTGAGGGCTATCTGAATGGCTTCAGCACAACGGGAGATAGAGAGGCCACACAGAGAATGACAGGGGATACAGAGAGAGTTGGGGACACAGAAGCTAAGGGGACCCCACCCCTGACATCATGAGCTGTGGGGAGTAAGTCCATAGGGACAGGGACAGGGAGCATCTGCCCTGGGCACAGAAACAGAAGTCATTGCTTAAAAGGGTGACTTCAAATAAAGGAACCAGTCCTAGAGCCCTGCCAGCTGGTGAGAACTCTGCAGATCAGAGGGGCTGGCAGGTACCTCTAGTTCTGCCTCCCCTCCACCCTGATAGTGCAGAGGGGAGCAGAGCCCCGGCACCATAGCTGGCTTCCCGCCACAGTGAGCCCCAGCCCCCTAACCCAGGATGTCCCACCAGAGTGGTCCCAGGCACACACCAGGACACCCTTGGTCAGTGCTCATTAAGGCTCCAGCCATCTCACCAAGGTAAAGCAGGTGCAGAATACTCTGGCTCTAGATGACTTGCCCGGATGACCCAGTGTTAAGTGGCCTAGGACCCCCGGCCCATGCACACCTTAGCTCTGGCTGTCCTGCCTGAGGGCCCTCTGCATGGAGGCCTATGATCCCTGGCTTCTGCCCACTTCAGCTGTGCTGCCAGGAGGCTTATAGCACAGACAACCCCAGAACAGCCCCAACCCATGGCCACTTGCCTCCAGCTATCCCACTAGGATGGCCCAACTGAGGGACCCAGGCCCCCGAGCCCATCTTAGCTACGGCTCTACAGAGTCGGCCAAAGTGACCAGGCAAACACGGTCTACACAGGGATGACCACACACAGGATCATTCCTTCATGTCTAGGAGAAGTAGCTGTTCTGCCTAATTCATAGAAACAAAGAAAGTCAATCAGAATGAGAGAGAGGAATATAGTCCAAATAAAAGAGCACAAAACTTCAAAACAAGTAAATGAAATGGAGGTAAGCACAGGTGAACTCTGTGAGAACTTTAACAAATAGAAAAATACAGAAAAAGAACCAGAATTAAAGAATAACTGAAATGAAAAATACACTAAAGGGAATAAATAGTAGATTAGAAGAGATAGAAGAACAGCTCAGTGATCTTGAAGACAGGATAATGGAAAGCACTCCAGGTGAACAGCAATTTTAAAAAATCGAAATTAAGGAATCTCTTGGACAACATCAAACAATCATTCCCATTATCTGGGCCCTGGAAAGACAAAGGAGAGAGAAAAGGGCAGACAGCATATTTGAAGAAACAATAACTCAAAACTTCCCTACCCTATGAAAATAGACATCCAGATACAGGAAGCCCAAAGAATTCCAAACAAGTTAAACCCATAACACATATTTAAAATGTCAAAGATTAGGGGCACCTGGGTGGCTCAGGTTATAATTTCACAATTCATGGGATCGAGCCCTGCTTCACGTTCTGTGCTGACAGCACAAAGCCTGCTTCGGATTCTCTCTCTCTCTCTGTTTCAAAATAAACATTTAAAAAATAAATAAAGGGATGCCTGGGTGGCTGAGTCAGGTAAGCATCTGACTCCGGCTCAGGTCATGATCTCAGTTCATGGGTTCGAGCCCCATGTCAGGCTCTGTGCGGACAGCCAGCTCAGAGCCTGAAAGCTGTTTCAGATTCTGTAGCTCCTTCTCTCTCTGACCCTCCCCTGCTCACGCTGTCTCTCTCTCTCTCTCTCAGAAATAAATACAACATTTAAAACAAAAAATTTTTTAATAAATAATAAAATTTCAAAGTTTAAAGATAGAGAATTTTAAAAGCCAGGATAAAGCTCCTCACTATGTACAAGGGAAACCCCAAAAGTCAGTTGGCCAATTTTCAGCAGAAAATTGATATACAGAAATCTGTTGCATTTCTATGCACTAACAAGGCAAAAGGAGAAATTAAGAAAGCAATTCTGTTTACAATGCACCCAAAAGAATAAGGTTACTCATGATAAATTTAACCAAGGAGGTAAAAGACCTGTTCTCCAAAAACCATAAAATTTGGATGAAAGAAATTGGGAACAAATGGAAAGATGGTCTATGTTCATGGATTGTAAGAATTATTATTGTTAAAATGTCCCTACTACCCAAAGCACTCTACAGATTCAGTGCAATCCCTATCAAAATGCCGCTAGCAATATTGAGAGAACTAGAACAAATGATACTAAAATCTGCATGGAACCACAAAAGACCCTGAACAATGAAAGCAATCCTAAGAAGAACAAAGCTGGAGGGGTCACAACCCCAGATTTCAAGATCTACTACAAAACTATAATAAAGGCATGTGGTAGTAGCACAAAAACAGACACACAGACCATTGGAGCAGAAGAGAGAGCTCCGAAATAGACATTTGCTTATATGGACAATCAATCTCTAGCAAAGGAAGAAGAGTAAGTAATTCTGGGGGAAATGGACAGCTACATGGTGTGAAAAAATGAAGGGATGTGGAAGAGAGCATGGCCAGCGACTCTCTAAAGTTTCAACCCAAGGGGTGCGTGCCTGTCTGGCTCAGTCCCTGGAGCACTCTTGATTTCTGGGTTGTGAGTTTGAGCTCCACGTTGGGTATAGAGATAACTTTAAAAAAAATAGAATCAAGTTTAAATTCAAGTATCAGACTAAACTGTTGCATTATGTTGGTTGATAGGGGTCATCCCATAGGTTGATCAGAGTAGATGGGGGAAGCAACATAATCCTTTAGCCAGACAAATAAGGGAAAAACCTTCCAGGCTAACAAACAGCATCCTGAGGTGGGAAAACGCTTGGTATTTCAGAGGAACAGTGAGCAGACCTGGCGTCCTGATCCCAGTGAGTGAGGGTGGTGGTAGCAGGATCTGGGGTCCTGGCACTGGCATCCCTGTAGCAGTCTAGTGATTTTGGACTTCATGCTGAGTGTAATCAGTGAACTGATAAGTGCAGAGAAAGGGCTAGAAAGTGGAAGAAGCATCTTGAATGGCCAAGAAGAGCAAGAGAGATGTTTGCTGCACTAACGAGACATAAGAGGAACGGCCGAACAAACTTTGATCCGTTTATGGTTTCTTGGGGTTTTGTGTTTTTTTAATGTTGATTTTTGAGAGACAGAGTGTGAGTGGGGTAGGGGCAGACAGAGAGGGAGACATCGAATCTGAAGCAGGCTCCAGGCTCTGAGTCGTCAGCAGAGAGCCTGACGTGGGGCTGGAACCCACGAACCGCAAGATCATGACCTGAGCTGAAGTCAGATGCTTAACCGACTGAGCTACCCAGGTGCCCCTATGTGGCTTCCCTACGTGATTTACTTGAAAAGGTTTCTGTGTCATTTTGCTATTAATCCAGTGTCATTCTGTGTTACCATGACTAATACATGTCCCTAAATAAGAATTGATGGCACTTGTGGGGTTAAAACAAATTTAGGACAACTTATTTAGAAAATACAACTGATTCTCTTTTTACATCTCACCTTTGCAGCCCGCCGTTCTCAGGCCCAGACCCTATGAAAACCTATAATATCATACTGAGGGGGATTGACATGATAGAATTTCCAAAGAAGATTGTCAAAAATGCTGCTAATTTAATTAAAAAACTATGCAGGTAAGCATTCCAGCCGCATGACTTTTGAAAGCATCATAATGGGAACGTGACAGATTCCCTTATAGTAGTTATTTTCTTTCCAGGGATAACCCGTCAGAAAGACTAGGGAATTTGAAAAATGGCGTGAAAGACATTCAAAAGCACAAGTAAGTGTTCTTCCCTTGACCTTTCCGTGGGAGGGTCCAGACAGCACCACCCCCGGCTCTTCTTTTTGCGTGACTGACACAGTACACCCGTGGGAACACCCAAGGGGACCTGCAGACCACTTAGCCTTCTGACTTAAGGCCCTTCTGCTTATGTCTTGGGGACATCAGACAAATGCGACCCTGTGCCATATTAAGTGACCGATTCACTGAGTTTAGTTTTTCCCAACTCATACTAACGAGCATATTCCCTCTCTGGCACCAAGAGGCAATGTGTGCTTTTAATTCTGGGATTCTGTTCTCTTCCAGAATATCAGAAACACAAGTCCTCCACCATATCATGCCTCATTTCCTAGACTAAAACAGGAATATATTTTTCCAGCTACTTCCCAATGAGATAATAACACAAAGAAAAGTACTGAGTACAGTGTTGTTTTTAAGCGATGGCAGCATCTTAAATATTAAACCTTACCTAGTTAATTGGATATTTGAGTGCTAATCTAAGGCCAAATTGTTTTTTATTACTCTGTATAACACTCACAGAAAATTCACATCCATACAAGAATTTACTTACCAAACTATCTATAAATACCTAAAACACCTGCTGAGAATTTGGTGGAACCGTTTGCTACTGGTGAAAACCGTGTTATCTGCTCCTCATTTTCACAGAAAATCTGAACACAAAATACCTTCAGTCTTTTATATAAATTAAATGTGTTGACATTTTGTTAGGAATTATTATGACCCTAGTATTGCATATTTAATGTTTTCTTCTATGAATACAAAAAAAGTACCAAATCAGAGCTACACCTGACAGATACAGTGATGGGAAAAGGTTAATTAACTGAGGCTGCCCAATGAATCCGTGCAAAGCTGGAAAATCATTTTCCGTACTGACTTTTCATGCTCTGACTCCACCGCCTTAAAATAAGACGTCTTGTAAGGCTCAGGGCCAAGCACATCATGACATCGATTAAGTTATACCAAGAGTACAGGCACAGGGTCATACAGACATGATGAAATTGCAGGGTAAAAAAGGAGTTATTTCTAACTGGTATTAAATATTTCAACAAGTAGGTTTTTTAAATATGCATAGCATAAAATAATTGTAAAAGTTTTCCATGAAACAATCCATTTTTGTCACCTTGAAAATGTTCTCCTCTCTGCTCTCCATCAGACGTGCACATCAAATATGTTGCAATGAGGTTGCAGCTAAAGTAAAATGTCTTTAACCAACCCCTTTTCTTCCCCTTTCCTAGATGGTTTGAGGGCTTTAATTGGGAAGGCTTAAGAAAAGGCACCTTAACACCTCCTATAATACCAAGTGTAAGTACAATTTCCAGTTTATACTGTCTGACACCGTTTTAGCCTATGATCAGATTAAATAAAGTATAGAAAGTACCACATGAGAATAATATCTAAAATCCAACCTTAAAAACAGGTCAGTTAGGAGATGGATATTATATGTGTATTTTACCATTACCTTTTTACTCTCTTCATTCTCATTTATTTATCCTTTTCCTGGGCTCTAAAAGAAAAGGATTCTCTTTCCTTAACTGTCTTTTCTGAACAGTTTTTCACTAAGTAGCAGCCCACTGAGGGTGACTCAGTGTTTGCACTGCATTAACTTGAAATAGATTTCAATTGATTGCATGTTTACCTATTTCTATTTACTACTCATCTGTCTACAAAAATGTGCTGCATCTTCATGAAGAGGCATGGGACTGCTTTGTGGTCCTGAGCCTTTTAGGTATACACTTCCTTTCCCTGGAAGTAGCTCAAGGCTGCTCTTTTTTCAGAAACATTTTCCCTGCTTCTAAGATTTATTTCTGTCAGTGCTAATGCCTCTTCAACAAAGGAAAACCCCATTACTGTGGCTCACGTCTCAGATTCTAATTGCATTCGTGAAGTTTTGTTTTTAGAACTAGAATAAGAAACTTGGTAGGGTAAAGACTAAGCCTAAATTACACTTGCCTATGTCTATCAGAAGTCTCCTTTTATGCAATAGTAATATCAAATGGGATAGACTTATGGATATCCATATATATTTCATTCAATATTAGTATATAAAAGGTTCTAAATATTACAGAATATGAGAGTACTAAAGGATGGATTTTTTGCTGATTTTACTGGTGCTCTACAGATTGGACTTTGCCCAAGAAATTTGCAAGTGTTCTGACTGAGGTTAGAAATGCCTTTCATTCTACTTGAAATAAACACACAGAAGACTTAAGATGGTCTTCAGGGCCCTACATAACCTGATTTCTCCTTCCAGTCTTTTTTTTTTTTTTTTTTTTTTTTTATGTTTTATTTATTTTTAGGAGAGAAAGACAGCGTGAGCAGGGGAGGATCAGAGAGAGAGGGAGTCACAGACTGAAACAGGCTCCAGGCTCCAAGCTGGCAGTCAGCACAGAGCCCGACACNAATACGCATTGCGGTTTTTGCAAATAGTACAGTTGGCCCAGGAAGTTGAAGAAATAAGCCGTCATATAATTTGGTGAGTTACATAGGATAGCCTTTTATTTTATTTATTTATTTATTTTTTAATTTTTTTTTTTTTATTTCTAGGAGAGAGATAGACAGCGTGAGCAGGGGAGGGTCAGAGAGAGAGGGGTTCACAGACTGAAACAGGCTCCAGGCTCTGAGCTGACAGTCAGCACAGAGCCCGACACGGGGCTCGAACCCACGAACCGCGAGATCATGACCCAAGCGAAAGTCGGACACTTAACCGACTAAGCCACCCAGGCGCCCCTCTCCTTCCAGTCTTAACTTCTTTTATACAGCAGCCACACTGGCCTCATGATTACTTCACGTCATGAAGCACTCTCTCACCTCAGGACCTTTGCACATGCTACACCCTCTTTTTTGAACTCATCAATTCTTAGTTTTCAAATAATATTTTTTCAAAGAGGCTTTCCATCATCACTCATACTCTCATCTCTTTTTTCTTCATAACACTAAGCAAACCTTATAGTCATCTATACATTTTTGTGATTGTTTTAATCCTACAGTGTACTCCCTGCTAAAGTACAGCAAGAGCCATGTCTATTTTTATTCACCACACTTAGCCCCAGTAAAAGCCACTCAAAAAATAGACATTGATCAGGAAATGAATCAACAATTCTTTTTAAAAATCTGGTTTGTGTCATTTTGAAAAAAAAAAAAGGTCAAAAAATTTGACTCATTCATTCCCTGTCTTGTTCGCAGGTTGCATCACCCACAGACACAAGCAATTTCGACAGTTTCCCTGAGGACAATGACGAGCCCCCACCTGATGACAACTCAGGCTGGGACATAGACTTCTAATGTATTTCTCTTACCTGCTTCTGCCTTGCTGAAGTCAGCTTTCTCTGAGACACAGCTGCCAGCAAACCTGAGGGACGGAGAGAAGATTAGTGCTCGGGGTCACCGTGATGCCTTTGATCGATGCTGCTCCAGTAACTACAGTGGCATTAGGACTTACTGCTTAGATGACAGTAGTGCTCTTTCCATGTTTTCTGTTTGATCCTAAAAATAGCAGTTGACATGGTGGTCCTGAAGCAAAGCCTTTCACCAGTAAAGAGAGGTTTTCTAATGTTGCAACGATCTTGCTTTGCTCTGACTATAATTTGAAAGACTGTAAGAAATAATTCAACCTAGAAAGAGAGTCTGTACCTTGCTAGAATGATCAAGAAGATCACAAAGTAATCTATCGGGTACGGTAACAGACCGTGGTACCAAACCTGGGCTCTGCCTTTCCTTCGTGTGAGGCCGTGGGATCCGTGAGTGCAGGCCGGTATATGTACCATACAAAAGGGGGCCACGCGTATGGGTCACGGGGTTCATGTCAAACCAGTGCTAGAAGTTTCCTGATTTTATTTCCCAGCAGTGCTGATGACTGGCTGAATGTTACCTTTCCTTCCTGACAGATTTTAAAATTGATATGATCAAAGCACAATGGCTGTGAAGCCTCTTGGCAGGTACATACGCGTTTTCACGGAGAACTGAAAAACCAACAACCTGCATGGCATTTGTTTGTTTCTTTTTTGATAAATTGTCATGACCAAGTGGAGAAAAAAAAAAAACAATTCACAAACCATTTCATATCTTTTAAAATATTGTGCTTCAAGATGGTCCTGGAAATCAATGACTAGCAACCGATTTTTGTTTATTACCTGACACGCTCTCAGACTGAGGCTTAAAATAGTCCCTTTTATAAAAAATAACCCCTTAGGGTGGGGACAGGGTGGGGGCGGGGTGGAGAGGGATGAAAATCCATCCAAAAATAAAAATAAAACAACTATATAGGTGCTATGTATATCTTTCATCTGTAAATGTCCGTGTCTGAGCAGACAACACAAATTCTAATCATCACCTGTGTAGCCAGAGATTCCAGCATTTTCACTACTTTACCAACGACACTCCCGCCAGATGTCATTTACACAACATAATCTAGGATTGAGGGGGAAAGGTGATTAAAGCCCATTCAACTGGCTTCTTGTCTTAGGCCTGAACCAAAAAGAAAAAAAAGAAGATCAAGAAGAAAACAAAATCATCGCGATTTACCAGATGAGGAAACTAACTTGTGTGAGGTCAGGGAACAGGACAAGACATGGCCCGGTGTTGATTACCTTTTTGTGAAGGAGCCAATGTGAGTTCACGCGTGCACTTGAGTCAGGGAGCAAACAGGACCCTGACTTCTTAGGCAGAAATGTTCACTAAGTGGGACAGAAATATTACAATCCTGAAATGTGTTTGAAAATACTAAACTGATTTGCTTTTTTCACAAGGGGCAAAGAAAGAATCAGCAGTTTAAAGTGAATTCTTCATTGGCAGGTGAGAATTGTGAGCTATTCTAAGCAGCAGAGACGTTTGGAAGCTTTTCCTAGACGTAGGGTTATACCTGCGTAGACAGACCCATCATCTTACGAGCCGTCATCCTGATTTGGAGCTGTGTGTGAACTGGATATATCAAATTGAAGTTTGCCTTGTTCCACTAGAGAATTCTTTTAAGAAGTCAGTCAGTTGCAGACACTTTTGCAAATAATATGCCCACGTAGGTCATTATATCACATATCCAGGAAGGTATAGATTATGATATCTGTTTGAGTTTTTCATACTGAGACCACGTTGGAATATGATATCAACACAAAATGATCTAAGAAACATTTTGGGAATAAAAATAATGGCATATTCTACATAATCAGAATAGAGTTAAATCAGACTTTTAAAGTTAAAACTTCAATCCCAAGATGTTACTGTTACTCTTGTGTTTGAGTTTTATGTCCCTCACAGTTGCTTAAGATCAGTTTACTCCCCAAGATATCCGCTTTCTTCTACAGACTTCAGAATATAAAACGTACCAACCTAAAATCCAGCTGTGAGTGCTATTTCAGAATTTTTATATTGCTTTTAACTGGGCTTTTAAAAGTATAGAATTTCAATATCATGGTCAATGTTCAGTGATTTTTGTTAAAAGAGCGATGTAGGCATGCTAACGATTTGCTAGATAGGAAGTTTATCTAGTCGTCACTTAAGAGAATTCTGCTCCTGCAATTTTTCAAATACCCCACTGACCCCAGAGCTTAGCCCTTACTGCAGATGTTGGAACTATGTTGGAACTGTGGTTCAAGTCTAAGACAACAATGTACAAGTTCTCTGAGGAATGAAAAAGTAGCATTGGGCTCAATGGAACTGTCCGCCATCTCTCCCACCTGTCACTCTATCTCCGTTCATTTCACCTGTGGCACTGCGTTAGGCTGTCTAAAGCAATCACTGACAAATAAAGGTGAACTACATCTTCCAAAAATTGCTAACAGTCATCTAATCCTAGGCATTGAAGTTTAAGGATTTAAATCTTGTCTTAATGAAGACACTAGGGCTAAAATTCACAGCTTTGTAAAGCGCATCTCACTTTATTTCTGAAGTTTTCATACCCCTCCATTTTCTTACACTGAAGAACATCTGGATAAGTTAGAATAGTGCCAACTCGTGTGATTTGTTAACTGACTTTCTTGTTAATACTTTGAGTCTGGGAAATAAGGGCTTTCTGTGCATCTTGACGCACAGGAAAACTGAAAACTGCCAAAGGAAAGGGGCATCATGATATTTGAGATAAATTGAATACGTTAGAGAAAATGATTTCTGGAAATTTGCTATAAATGATTTTTATGTTTGTATCTTCTTTGTTATTCACATATGAATCAGATCCACGTGGTATTGAATTTATTTTGATTATATTCTTTACAAGTCATGTTTCTTTCTTAAAATGGGATTTGCATGTGACTCACACGTGTAATATACAAATTCAACTACTGAATTTTTCTGGTTTCATTTCTAAATGACTGAGCTAATGGTGAACTTAAGGATGTCAGAACGGATTTCACACCATAGAGGTGATCTGTGCATTATCCATAATGATGTTTTATTTCACAATAGGACCACAGACAAATATTTATGTAAATAGATATTTTTGTGTGATATTTTGTGGTACATATACCTTTTTTTAGTGTTTCACAGCATTATTATTTCATCTTATTTGTACTGAATACTCTTTTAGGTCCAAGTAGACTTGAATTAATGTCATAATTGTCAGTATTATTGAAAATTACGTCAACAGTACTGTTTCATCTGTTCCATAGTTTAGAACATGACCTGGCTATCTGGCATTGTTGCAAGTGCCTTAAATTCATGGCATCCTATTAAAAAACAAATTTGGTGTTATGCTGCATGACAAGACAAATACACCTCAAAATGTTGTCCTTTCTTAGCTTGCTGCGTTTTACAGTTCTTTCTGCTAACAATTTCTAAGCCTTTATTATATAATATTGATGAATTACAGAAATGATGAAGTTGTTCTCTTATTTCTGTTACATGTACCAGAGCTGTGTATCTGTTACTGAGATACAGCGTCATTTCTGTGAAATGTATAAATGTATGTGCAGGTCAAATTAATCTATGACATACTATCAGTCTGTACACAGGTATTCCTGTTTTGCTAAGCCGTGCAGATCCAGTTTAAAAAAAAAATTAGTGCAGTCAAGTCCTAATGCCTCATTTTATAGACTCCATTAATAACGATCCAACTCAAAAATTGGAAAGTGACACCTTGTTATGAAACCATTGAGGAACACGTACCTTAGTGCACTCCTCAACAAAACAGGATGCTTTCTGAGTTCTTGTATATGCAAATCACGTAGGAGGCAAGTTTGTGACAGACCTGGGAAGATAAACAATGGAAGTGTGTAGTTAGCCCTCCTCTTTATCTGCCCCTGAATTAACAGAGCTCTGGGACCTTGACAGTGACTCAGAGGTTTGGGCTTTCCGAGGAAAGGGACATTTCTTTAAGCATCATCTGTCCAATTTATTTCATTGTATGATGTTTTTACAAATGGTCAGTTCTTTTGTATTCTTACAGCTATGGTTATTCGATTGTCCTTCTTACAATCTGTTCTACATGAAAGAGTCCTTTGTTAGAATGCAACCACTGTCATCAAATGGTCACTGACCACTTGCACTCTTTTGGTGTAGATTAAAAACTTTTTCATAAAATTAACCTGCTTTGATTTGCTCTGTATTTTTCCTGCAGCTGTAATTGCTGAGTGCCTGTTGTATACTTTATAGAGTTGAAATAAAAAAAATAATTACTTTTGAACCTAGTCGATGTTTCATTCCAGACAAGATTTCAAGAACAGAACTGATGAATCACACCGGAAGGGAAATACCCTGTAGCGCTGTGGGAGAATGTCACTACAACAATAGAAAGATTACTTATAACCCTGGTGTGCTTCACAACAGCATCTGATGGAGAACTAATCTAGCCTATCAGTTTAAAGAATTCAGTAGGGAGAAGGCAGGCCATCCAGTGTGAACAGAAAAGCAAATGTAGATACCTACACAAACCCCAACTTCAGCAGTATTCTGTGCACCCTGCCTCTACCTACGCCCCCGCACCACCACACGGCTCCTTGTGTGGGCCCCCCTTGGTCAAACTCTGAAATAGGCAAAAAATCAAAATGATGATCTGTATAATGAACTTCCATGACTCTTTGTCTATAAAACATCCAGTAATTTCATTTCTTCTGCAAAAAGAACTCAACCATGATGTTCAGGATCCTTCCCTTACATTTTGTGATTTTCATACTCTTGATCTAAGAACATTCATCTTTGATCCTGGAAAGTTTTGGGGGTGTTTTTGGTATTAATCACAGTTTTTGGAGAGGCATGTAGATCAATACAATGATTAGCATGAAGGACGGTGAGGACGTTACGTCCACACCACTGCCACATCTTGCACAACTGCAATTGAAGTAAATCACTACACACAATTACCTATGACAGCAGAAATCAATTATAAATGTGATATAATCAAATGTACTATTGGTCGTCCAGCTTGGTGACAGGCTTGCAGATCTACCCTTAAAGTCTCAGTTATAGCCCTAAAT